TATAAATCAACTCAACAAAGGGATGGAAGACTTACACATGTAAAAGTCAAAACTTAAAGAACAGAACACAATAGAAAATCACTTTATGTTCATTGTTGGAAAAATTAGTACTGTTAAAATGATCATCCAGCTCAGAGCATTAAAGAGATTCAATGCAAAAATTTAATGGCATTATTTACCCATAGGCAAATGCTAATAAAATGTATGTCACCATAAACCTCCCCAATACTCAAAACAATTCTGGTGACAGTTATTGCATTCTTTGGCTTTAAAGTACACTATAAAACTACAGAAGGAAAAACAATATGACACTGCAATAAAAATTCATGAATTACAACTGAGATTCCAGAAGCCCTCAGAAAAATGGTTTCTATTTCATACCACACAGAGAATTCAAAATGGTTTAAAACCTTGATATTACATTCAAACCCACAAAATAATTGAGGAAAACATGAACAGAAATATCCATGATATTGATTTCAAAGGTGTCCTCAATGATTTTACTTCACTTGCAGAGAAAATAATGCAAAAATAATAAGACTGCATCAAACTGAAACACTTTCTACACTGTGGAAAAAAACTACGGTTAACTATTTAAAAACACACACACACATTTTGGAAAAGAATAAAATGTGTCAATCTTTCAAAAGGCTAAGAACAAAGATATATTCAGAATTTACAAAACTATATAACAATTGACCACAACAAAATTCATAAAACGTGAGCAAAGTGCTTCTGGAGAGGGTAGCACAGTGGATAAGTACTTGCCTTGCATATGACCAACCCACATCTCATCCCCCAAATGACACACGAGCCCTTGAGTCTTGCCATGCTATACACCACCAAATGTGGTCCAAAAACAATCAAAGAAAGCAAACATAAAGAATGGTAAAGGAGCTCATCTGACATTTCCTTACCAGAAACAAACACATGATCAAAAGACATATGTAAAGTGTTCATGACAATTAATTACCTGGAAAATTCATATAGCAAGGTACTATATATTGAACCAGTGAGAATCGTAGATAGCAGAAAGTCAAAAAATAAAAATAAAAAAACAGAATGTTGCCGACAGAAATGTAGTGCAAAAGGAACTTTCATATTCATTTTTTGTAAGACAGGTGTCAGGTTCAGTCTCTATTAAAAAAAAGAACAGTGTAAAGATTTTGAAAAAAATTAAAATATAACTACCATGGATTCTACTCGAATTCCATGAGTATGATACATTAATTTGTAAATTAATATATACACTTCTATGTCAGCAGCAATATTTACTACAACCGAGAACTGAAAACAAGACGATATATAAACACGACATATAAAGAAACAAAGCAGTACCTGAGTCAAAGTACAGTGAGTTGAGTTGTTTGCCTTGTAAGAAGCTGACCCTGGTTCAATCCCCAGCACTATATGGTCCACAGAGCACCACTAAGGGGTGATCTGTGCTCAGAGCAAAGAGAAAGCCCTGAGAAGTACCATTTCTGGCTACAGCCCCTAGCCTCCACAGAAAAGAATAAAGAAAAGAAACAAAGCAGGCCAATCAATGGTGTCCATTGAAAGCAAACCCTCGTACTCTGACAAAAGAACTGAGGATCTGACAAAAATACTGGAGGTGGCATGGAGTGATGGGACAGACTAGTAAGGACACAAAGACAGTGGTGGATTCTGGAACTCTGATGGTTGTGATGCAATTTTATAAGCATTAATATTGAAAACTTACTTACTTCAATAATATTATATAAAATTAACTACATCTGGGCAAAACTATCTTAAGGAATTAAACATAAATGACAGGAACTAGAAAATGATTCTCAATGTACTTGAACAGCAGTATTCTTACATTATCTCTAAAATCTTAAACTAGTATTCAGATTCTTTGTATTACTCAATTAAGTCAGCAAATTAACTCAGAACTGGAGTCCAATTAAAACAAAATATATCCCCAAAAGGTCACATAGCAAAGTCAAGATAGGTTGTTTGCTCAAGAATTCCCACAGTATTTCACTGCCCTTTGTTGGATTAGAAGGTGCTGTCACCATATTAATTACCAGTTCAAACAGACAGAGACATCAAAGGAAGAAAAGGTTTTGAGAGAAACTGTAAAAAGTAGGTTTCTCACCAATGTACCCCTGAGGTATAAATCTTTTTTATTATAAATGGTTACATTTTAAATCCATAAATACTGATGTGCACTTCTCAACATTAAGCATACCACATATTTTATAGTTCATGCACCAATTATGGTCTATCTTTAGGGATCATAATCTCAATTGGGACCCACCAAAAGGTTGTTGTAAGTGGATAATGATCACCCAGCAGGAGACAAACACCACCTATGAAGTAAACTATAGTTGGTTTTCAAAAGGATAGCATACTTTTGTTGTTAAATTGCAAACAAAAATTTAGAAACATAAGTCAATTGAATAGGTGATTCAATATTGATTCTCATGGCTTCCTCTGAAAAGAGCTCAAAGGTGTAATGATAAGGGAGCGATAGCACAGCGGTAGGGCATTTGCCTTGCACGCAGCCAACATGGCCGACCCGAGTTTGATTCCTCCGCCCCTCTTGGAGAGCCCGGCAAGCTACCGAGAGTATCTCGCCCGCACGGCAGAGCCTGGCAAGCTCCCCGTGACGTATTCAATAGGTCAAACACAGTAACAATTAAATACACCGCATTTCAAAATAAGTTAAACTGATTGCATGATCTATGTATCAATTAAAAGTGAGCAATTTCTGATACATAAATTTAACTGGACAGTCTTTCTTACAAATATCTGAAACTAACATTTTCACACTTAAATGAAAAGTTAAGAATAATATAATAAAGTATTACACAAATATCTGAATACTAACCATAAAGAAAAGTGGGCATTATATATGCGAAGATGTAAGTTAACATGTGTAAATTTTATAACAAAAACAGTAACTTATGGCCACTGCATGTCTGAGAGAGTAAAAAAGTGTTGACTGTGATATACATGCAAGTTAGAGAAAGAAACATTTGAAAAATAATATATACTGAACTAAGAACTTTAGTTTAAATGTATTTATTGGGAAATATTATTAAAATATTGATTATAAAAATGTAAAATCTATGGAGCAGGGACATTGCACCATGGATAAGGCACTTGTATTGCATGTAGTTAATCAAGGTTCAAATTCACAGCACCATATAAAGTTTCCTGAGCATGGCCAAGAGAGATCACTAAGCAACGTATGAGCACCACTGGGTGTACCATCACCAGCCCCCCCGAAAAAAACAAAAGAATTAAGAACCTAACAAACAACCATATTAAATATCTCCATTTGTAACAAAGGAATGTCTTTGCAATTAATTTCCCAATTACTCCATCTATAAGATAAAATTTCCAAAATTAGTCCCAGTTTATTGAGGCTAAAACTCCTAAGAGATTCACATATTAATAGTGAGGCATGATGGATTTCAGTATGACTTGGCATATTTTTCCTTGCCCATCTTCCAATAAGTTATGAAATTAATTACACAACATGAAATACTAGAAAATGTTCTCATTTAATATTCATGATTACAAATCAGACACAGATTATTGTAATATTCTGCACAAAATCACTTGCACTGCCAACTGAAGAATCATTCATACTTGACTTGCTTACCACAGTTGGCCAAGCTAATTTGTTAAGTGACGGGGGCTGCTTTTCAATGAGAAGGACAAAAAAACTGTCACAAGCTTTTCCAGAACTAAGAAATAAAAAACAAAAAGTTTATTTTGAAAAGTATATATCTATATGTGCATAACAAATTCATCATTACTGCAAAAGATTAGGTGTAGCTCAAGATTTACTTGCAGACACACACACACACATATCCACGTGCACTAACACAAACACACGTACACGCGGTCTCTCACAAAAACACACATGCACATACTCTCACACAGACACACACACACACATCTTAATGCCAGAAAAACTCATTTGAAAGTTTAAATTTTATGATTTTGTGATTTATAGTAGTTTTTAGCCCTCTTTGAAATAATTATAAATACAATGTTCTACTTAATTATATCCACTAAAATTCATCATGATAGAAGAAAATTAGTAAACTATAGCATTTATTCTGTAAGTTTTAATACTGAAATGATTACATGGTCCCTGCTTCAGATTCACCATTCAAAAAATAAATCACTAATTTGAATAGTTGAGTTTTCAATTTCATCTTATCTAAATTATTTGCAAACTTATTTTAAGTATTAGAATTTGAGAAATTCATGCTGCAACTAAATACTATATTTTGTAATTACTATTTTGGTAATAGAGCTCTCCTATTGTTACAAATGCCTAGCAAAGAAACATTTATTTATTTTTGGTTTTTGGACCACTACCTGTGGTACATGGGGCTTATTCCTGGTCGACTCATGTTTGATGCTGAAGATAGAAAAGAGGACGGCTGTGTGCAATTCAAGGTCCCTACCCACTGTACTAAAATCACTCAAGTGCCAATGGATTTTCAAAAGGATTGTCAGAGTTATTACTTTGAATATAGAAGTTAAATAATATTTAAGAGTCTGAGAATGTGATATCAGTATGCTAGGTAATTCTGTTTATGACATGTACATATATACATTTATATTTATTTATTAATGTTTATATTTATAAATATAAACATTTAATTTTATTTAATTATATTAATGTGTTTAATTATATTACCTATATAAGAATATATATTCTTAATAAGGTTCAAATTTTAATCAAGTTAGTACACATTTATAAGGACAAATTATGAATCATTGTGTTCTTTGTAAAGTACCTAAATATGTTTCCCACATTCAAAAAATAAAAATACTAGACTTTAGTAGAAAATTACTCTTCAGTTTACAAAGATTTCTTCATCCAGCTAAGACTCATATATTTGTCCATAGACATGATAAAGTATTTTATATTAAAAAAAGATAATGCATAATCAAATGGTCTTACTTTCATCATTTTTTTCTTAATAAGAACAAAGCATATATTGCAGTACCTTTGGATATTGCTTGACAGGAATCAGTACCCTTTCTGAGAGTTTTATATTTTTGTTGCTGATGACATCAAGGTATTTCTTTTCTTCATCTTCCTTTTTAATATCAGAACCTTGAAACTTTTCAATTTCTGAAAAAAATTCACAAAACACACAAATGAAGTAATAAGTCATAGTAAGTATACTAGTATACTGGTCTTTATTATTACCCCCCTTCTAAAATTGGTGTTGAAGAACATTGATAAAATGACTGAAAACAGAATCTATTAAAATAATATGAATGTTTATAATATTAATTCGACCAACTGAAACTATCAAGTGATAATTGAAAATGAGACTCCTCTACAAATCAAATGACACATTTAACTTGTTAAACAAAATATGAACTATGGCTTTCGCTATTTAAAATCTCTGAAAAAAAATTCCTAAGAGCAAAGCACAGAATAACATTTTTTAAGTTTTATGTTCCTTTTCATTAAGAATAGCTCCTAAGGAAAATAAATCATAGTAAATAATAACCCATTCATTAACTAAAATATGTTAGATGAAAGAAATAGGCAATTATCTTGCCATTTCTTAATTTTTACTTTTTTAATTTTAATTACATTGAATTTCAAGCTTAAACAAATTTGAAGTCAATTATACAGTGAGGCACACAAAAGTCGCATAAGTAATGTGAACCTCCAATTGCAATCACACATAAGTATGAAATACCATTACTAATATTCACCACCATAAAATCATGTCTATATGTAATGATGGAATTATTAACTTTCCCCAAGAAAATCTCCCAAAATGGCTATTTATGAGCAAATATACACGATTCATTTTTTAAAATTAATTTATTCATTTAAATTCCCCTATGGAGAAGCCTGTGTTCTCTTTGGAATATCAATCTCTGTATCTTTTTGACCACTCACTCCTAAGATTTTCCCTTCTCCAAATTTCTTTCAATAAAAACGTTTTGTTTCACACACAAAAAAAGTAATTAGTCCACAAAAGATACCACCTATCCATTGTAAGTTTCACATATAAAACAGAAAAACAAAATATAAAAGTCTGCTTTTATGTACTCTATTCGGTGATCAGAAAAAGAACAATTATAAGATAATACACAATTTAAGTGCATTAGGGAATTAATTATAATGTTTATTATAAATAAACAAAGCTATAAATAATATATAGAAGTGACAGTAGAGACTGAGATTTTTTTAGTGGGATTCAATGGATGCTCTGTGTGCAAAAGACCCAGTTTCACTCCATAGCTCATGGTCCCCTGAGCACCAAGCTACAAGTATTTTTTCTTAAATGCACTGCTGGACATATCCAGAAACACAAAATAATAATAATATCGTATAGGAGAGTATGGCAATGTAGTTCAGTGGTATTAGTGAATGCATTGCACATATGAAACCCTAGAATGAATATATAGAAATGAAGAATAATAACTAATGTTTGGAACTACTTAGGTTTACTTGAAACACCTGAGTAGAACACTGAATAAAAAAATAAAATAAAAAATTAAGCCACAGGAGTGAGGAGTGAAGTTGTACAACTTGAGAGAAAAATAATCTCAATGTACTCTTGGATTTGCCATGAATCAGAAAGTTTGTTTGAAGAAAAGCAACTGTACAGAGGAGATTAAAAGAGGCCACAAGACAAAGCCACAAAAGACCCTGTATGTATCATTACATATATATTGTATACATACATATTTATTACAAACTTAATGGTGAGCTATTGGGTGTATCTTTACAAATATTTTTACTTGCAAATATAATGTTAGTTTGTGATCTGCAAAACTAATCATATTAAGCAGACAATATACAAGAAACTACCTTGCCTTTGTATCACTATCAAGTTAAACCAGCGGTTTTACAAAGCAGAAATGAAATGGTGAGAATATAATTAACGTCAAGATAGAATTCAAGGGGCTGGAACAATAGCACAGTGGGTAGGGCATTTGCCTTGCACAAGACCGACCTGGGTTTGATTCCCAGCATCCCACATGGTCCCCTGAGCACTGCCAGGAGTAACTCCTGAATGCATGAGCCAGGAGTAATCCCTGTGCATCACCGGGTGTGACCCCCGCACACCTCCCCAAAAAAATAAAAGGTAGAATTCAATTTGGTCTTTCTGAATCGTTTTGTTTTATTGAATTTCTGAATTTGTTTGTTTTAACATACCCAGCTATGTTCAGGAATCATATCTGGTGTTGCGCCCAGAAGTCCATCTGTGGTACCAGGGATCAAACCCCAGTGGGACTCTTGCAAGCAAGGACCTTACACAGAGTACTAACTCTCTGACCCCCTTTTTGTTTTGTTACTTATTTTATGTTCAGTCTATATTTTATTTTCAGTAGCACAGTGGGTAGGACATTTGCTTTGCATGCAGCCAAGCCGGCCAACCCGAGTTCGATTCCTCCACCCCTCTTGGAAAGCCCAGCAAGCTACCGAGAGTATCCTGCCCACATGGCAGGGCCTGGCAAGCTACCCGTGACATATTCAATATGCCAAACACAGTAACAACAAGTCTCACAATGTTACTGGGCCTGCTCGAGCAATTCGATGAACAACGGGAGGAAAGTACTACAGTGCTATATAATATATGAACAAGAACACTCTGCTCTGAGGGTACAGTAAGGAGGAGCTTTATTTTGTACACATCCCACCTAGGTTTGATTCTTGACACCAAATAAGGTCCCCAGGGTCCCACTTGAGCAATTCTTGGGCAGAGACTCAGCAGTAAGACCTGACCACCATCCCAACAGGTACGACCTAACCCACACACAAAAACACTGTCTGGGGAAAAAATAACTGAACATTCCATCCATATTATTTTCAAATAAAGATACCAAGAGCTATGCTTGACTCACAATAAGTACAGTATTTTGAACACAAAAAATTTAAAGTCTAATTGTGGAGGTAAGATTTCTGAACTGCACATCAGGTCTTAGTTCTTTAATTTTTTTAATTAGCATCAACTCAAAAAAGGCTATCCCATTCCATAGTTAATTACACAGATAAAAATTACAACAATTGGCACTGCTGGAGGCATGGGTACTCGATCATTGTATAACTGAAACCCAAGCACAAAAATTTTTAAGTCTACAACTGTACCCCATGGTGTTTCACTAATAAATTTTTTTTAATTACAATAGTTAATGTTATCATATAGTTAATATAAAATCCCCATAACTTTCAATGTAAGTAAAGGTTAAGAGCATTATTTACTTGACTCCTGTGGAATTTTGTTTAAAACTCTATTTGAATTAAGACTGCACTTTGTACATCAATAATGTCAGAATAAATGCAACACTTCTATCTTTACAAAGACACATATCGTAATTGTATCAATTATTTCTGTAATTTCCTTGATGACAACTATCTTAAAATAAACTGAAATGTGTTTTGCAAAAGCATTGTATGCAACATATGTATACAATTTCTACTTCCTATGAAAGCATCAGATTCTTCTTTATAATATTAGCAAGTCAATTTATCTTAATTTTCAAATTGAGAAACATTCTCTATTTGCCTTTCAACTCCTTATATCATTTTTACAAACACACTCTGACAACTACTAAGTATATTCATTAAAATCTCTGATAACAACGATGAACTTCTTATCACTGCCCTTTGGGTGGTTGTATATATCTAATACTGCAACCTTTGCTTGCTGAAGAACTTGTTATGTGGAACACACTGAAGAAGCTGATTCAATTTCCAGTCTATTGAATGTATGATTTCTCCCTAGTCCTTCCGTCATAAAAATAAATTGAATTTGTTTGACAGTAGTATTTTCCCTCCACAGAACTACTACCTTAGGCTTCTTTTATATACATTTGAATTTGATCAATCCATGATTAACTCTGATAACTTTTTCATCAAGAAATTGAGTTGAATAAAACACCTTTTCCACTAGTTTTTCTATTCATCTTTAAACTTCCCTTTTAATTTTTCACTATTATTTCATTTGCCTTCAGGATGCTTTCAGGAGTTGTCTTCTCTTCTCAGCTATTATCAAAATGTGTAGCAGCTCAGTAACTGCATTTGTCAATTCTACAGTCAGAGAATGGTATATAACAGAATTGTTACCATGGAGAGCAATGGAATATAATTCCCTCTTAATTTTGACTTAATTTTGACTTCATAACTGATAAATATTATAGGACATTTAACTACATAATTATTCTTAAAATTAAAAAGTACACATTACTGTATAATGGCCGACTCGAGTTCGATTCCTCCACCCCTCTCAGAGAGCCCGGCAAGCTACCGAGAGTATCTCGCCCGCACGGCAGAGCCTGGCAAGCTACCCGTGATGTACTCGATATGTCAAACACAGTAACAACAAGTCTCATGATGGAGACGTTACTGGGCCCGCTCGAGCAAATCGATGAACAACGGGGAGGACCGTGCTTACTGTATAATAATAGCTGACAATTATTTTCTATAGTGATGTTGTCATATTATATAGTAGTGATACAACCTCTACTAAATTTGACCACCATATTAAAGGTAAAGGTAAAGCCATATTATTTGAAAAAATATTTTCAATACATTAGAACAAGTTGATCTGCTGTTGAGAACATGTTAAATGATATATATGTATATATATAATGTTTTCTGTTCCTTTCAATCTGCGTTTCAATATACATAGTCATTACATTTTACTTTAAAATTAAGTTATTATGATGGTTTTCACATTAGTAGTAGAATCATTTGAGGATCACAAGAGTCCACTTTTGATCATGCCTGTATTTATCAACATTCTGTTCCATTGGTCTATATTACTTTGTCTGCCAATATCAAACTGCACCGATTACTACTATTCCTTATTATGTGTTTTGAACCAAATGCTCCCTTCTCCTTCAACATTGTTCTAGCAAGTTAAAGTCCTTTAATATGCTACATGATCTTTAGTATATTTTCCAATTCCTGAAAAAAATTACTGGGATACTGAATTTTCAGACTGTGTGAGGCATTATGGAAAGTTATAAATATTACAATTTTCAATTCACAAATATAATACTCCTTTGAATTTACCGGTATCTTTTTGAAGTCTTTTAACATTTTTTTTAGTTTTAGCTAAGATAAATTGTAGTTCAAGTATTACCTTCTTATCTCTC